AGAATCGAACCCGGGACCCTTCAGTCCCCAAGCCGACGCTCTATCTATTGAGCCAAACCGGTTTCGGCAGCACGGGCGTCTTTACGTGTCGGTGTGCCCGTCACCATCCCACTCCACACACAGCCTCTCTGCTCGAGGCTTTGGGCCGCTTCCTTCCCCACAGGAATCCTGCAACCAGAAGGGCCGAGAGAGGAGCGAGACGCATCCACCTGCGTTTGCCTCACGTGTAACCTCCAGCCCGGCCCCTTGGCCTCCTCCCCGCCATCGCCGGGGCAATCCTTGTCCAGAGAGCATGCACGTCCAGGAGCCAGAGCCAGGGCCGGGGGCGCGGGGTCCCGCTGTCTCCCGAGGAATGGAATTAGGCTCCAACGCTCCCCACCAGACACAGAGAGATGGGGCCCCCCACCAGCCCGTTCAGGGGGGGCTCCAGGCCTTGCTCCCTGCGCCGAGGGCCCATCCTGAGTCCTGTCTCAGCCCTGAGCAGTCCACGGAGGGAGAAGGAGCAAAAGGCACCTCCATGCCCTCATCTTTTTCTAACCTGTTTTTACTTTTTTTTTTTTTTAAATACCCTGTTTCCCCGAAAATAAGACAGTGTCTTATATTAATTTTTTCTCCCAAAGTTGCACTAGGTCGTATTTTCAGGGGATGTCTTATTTTCGGGGAAACACGGTATATTTTATCGATTTTTTACAGAGAGGAAGGGAGAGGGATAGAGAGTTAGAAACATCGATGGGAGAGAAACATCGACCAGCTGCCTCCTGCACGCCTCCCACTGGGGATGTACCCATACCCCAGGCACATGCCCTTGACCAGAATCAAACCGGGGACCCTTGAGTCTGCAGGCCGACACTCTATCCACTGAGCCAAACCGGTCAGGGCTACTTTTTTCTTTATTTTTAAATTGTGGTAAAAACATACACAAACACCGTAGGATTCAGTGTGACGCCAGTGGTGTTAACACACGGAGCAAACATTCTCCCCGTCTCTTACTCAGATGCCCGTGGGAACGCACCGGTGGGGAGTGAGGGGCATGGGGGTGCCTTTGCCCCCATCGTGACCCCAGGTGGGTGGCCAACAAGGCTATGGGGCCCTGGATTTTGAAACACACCCCTTCCCCCGTAAGAGGACCCTTTGCTTCCCAGGCTCCTCCATCCCCTTCCACCAAAGCATGGTCCCCTCATCAAGCTGGAGGTGGGGGGAACGACACAGCCTTCTGGGGCTCCCGGACAGCACACCCCATCTCTGAAATGCCGAAAGGCCTTCTGTGTCCCAAAGCCGAATCCTGGCCCCTAGATTCTGCGCCCTTGGTCCTGGCGTCACCAGGGACAAGGCTCCGGCTCTCCCAGGACAACCCCCTGGTGAGAGGCGGGCACAGACTCGGAGTCCTCCCTGCTTCCCAGCGCCCTCAGCTCTCCTCACCCTCAGGAAGGGGTGGAGGGCGGCCAGCTGGGCCGGAAAGAGTGGGGTTCTCTCTTGGGGTTGCCCCCAGTGAGCTGAGGGAGGGGTGGCAGGTGGCAGGGCTTGCGAGGCTGCCAGACACACCCCAGCAATCCCACCCCTGAGGGGCTTGGCCCGGTTCATTGCTGAGCCCAGTACGAGCGGGACCTGCTCGCACAGACTCAGGCCCGCGGGCCTCCTAGGCTGGCGACAGGCCCGAGGAGACGTCAGGCCCGGGGTGCAGGCCAAACGGGCAGCACTGGCTGGCGGGGCCCAGGCTCCAGTTTATCCGAAGGCAGAACCCAGCTGGCCCAGGAGGCAGAGGGCACCCTGGTGCAATGAGCCACGGTTGGGCGTCACCAGGCATGAACTGACATGGCTGGGAGAGGAGGGCGTGGACAGCGGGGAGATCCTCATCTGGACAGACAACCTCCCCTTACAAGCCAGCACTGACCACGCCCGCCGCCCGCAGAGCACCCCAACCAGCACCACAAGCCCGCGACACCTACTACTGCCTTCCCGCCAGCCAGCACGCTGCTGCCATCGCCAGGATGGAACGGGCTCCCGGCACTCGCGGGAAAAACCTGACAGCTCCGGGGAAAAACAGGCAGAGGACAGGAGCAAGTGACCCACGAAATGCAATGGTCACTGAGTGCGTGAGAAAGCAGGGGTTCGGGCGCACCCTCGGCGGACGGCGCACGAGTGAGAGCCCAGTGTCACACACACACACACACACACACACTCACACACGAGCCCGCTCCCAGAGGCCATGGTGGCAGGCAATCCCGGAGCAGCCCCCATGGGGGAGCAGGACCAGGAGGAGCCGGACTGTCCTGGGGCAGGCGGTGGTTCGGGTTGGAAGGCTCGTGGCCCTGCTGCTGGGGGTAGTTTATCGAAGGAAAATGACCAGAGGCACGAACATGGGCGGGTTCGAGTGGACAGCACCAGGTGTCCTGCTCCCAGGAGAGGAGACTCAACCACAGCCTCCACAGGGTGCCGCTCCGTGTAGGAGTCCACCCGACAGTCCCGGAGCCGGGGTACCGATTAGACTTTATCCTGGGCGTGTCTGTGAGGGCTTCCGGATGAGATGAAAGACTGAACTGGTGGGCCCGCTGGGGGAAGCCAAGGTGTGGGTGGGCCTCGCCCGGTCAGTTGAAGGTCCGGATAGACCCAGAGGCTGACCCTCCCGGGTACGAGAACACCCCTCGTGCTGACTGCTGAGCTGGGACACCAGCTGCCCTCAGAGGGGAGCTGCCATCGCTCTCCTGGGTCCAGCCCGCTGGACTGCACATCCTGGACCATCAGCCCCACAATCGTGACCCGGTGCCTTATAATAAATGCCTCTCTCTTCTCTCTATATGCGTCCTACTGGTTCGGTTTCTCCGGAGAAGCCCGGGGGCACACCCAGTCGTGGGTGCCTGCTTCCTCCTCCTTGTGCCTTCAAAGTCTCAGACGGAGGAGCCCCTGCTAAGTGTTTGGTGTCAGGACCCCCACCCCAGCAGCCAGGTGGTGTCAGCCTGCAGCCAGGCCTCCCGCCTGGACATTCCCTGCACCGAGACCAGCTCCAGACAGGACTGACGGAGCCCGGCCATGCCGGGTTGTGCTCTCGACCCCCATGAAGATGGAGGAGACGAGACAAGGCACTCTTCTGGGGATGCGTGTTGAGTTTGGGAATTTTCCAACAAGGAGAGGTGCAGGAGGAAGCTGGCCTGAGGCCCTGGAGGGAGGGCAGGCTGGCCAGGAGGAGGCGGGGCTGGGCTGAGAGTGGGCAGTCGCCTGGAGGACATGGGGAGACAGGCAGACAGGTCTCCCAAGAAGGGCTGCACAGACAGAAAACCAGGAGGTGGTCAGGAAAGGAAGAGAGGCCCCAGGAGCCCAGGGGGTGGGGTAGGAGTCCTGAAAGTCAAGAGCTTTAGCCTGGGGATGTCCAGATGAGAATGGTCAAGAAGGCCAAATGCTGCGGAGGGCAGAGAGATGACAAGGCCTGCGGGCTGGGGAGACCCAGGGCACGGTGGCAGGCGCTGGTCCAGCAGAAGGAGACATGGAGGCCACGAAGTATGTCCCTCGCAGGTGCCCCTCCTTCCCACACCGTGGCCCTCCCTGGGTGACTCGAGCTGGGTCTGCCTCCAGCCAGATCTCAGCTCTGGATAATTTCTCTAGTCCAAGGTTCCAACTACACCCCCCTCCCAAGCCTGGCGTGGAAGCCTCTGTCTGAGATGGTCCCTCTAGTGCTGTGAGCTCCACACAGGGCGGTACCCTGACTAGCGTTTGCACACCTTTGAGGCCCCCTCCCTTAGCCCCAGGGACATGCAAGGGCAGAGAGGAGCAGACAGCTGTTCTGAGGGCGCTCTCCTCTTGCTGGGCAGAAATAAAAGATGCTCCTCCCAGGGGCGGGGGGGGGGGGGTGTCTGTCAAGATTCTGGAGTTCCTTCAGCCCCCTCCTCCCACCCCCACGGTGGGCTGGAGCAGGGGACTGTCCAGCAGGGAGTGAGGGCAGCTGGCCATGCAGAGGCGGAGCCGCAGCAGGAAAGGTACAGGTGGAACTTGGCATCCAGGACTTGGCTGCTGACGCCATGTACAGGAAGCCAGTGGCTCCATTGCTGTGGGATCCCCAACATCAGCAGGGTTTCTGGGCTCCCTGCTCCCGGCCTCACCTCTCCTCTCTCACCACCCTCTGCAGCAGGAAGGTTTAAGGAAGATTTTTCTACAAGAAGCAGGTCCGGCCGCCTCTGCAGACGATTCTCTGGGGGCTGTCGGTGGCCGGTGGCCGTGCACCCTGGCGCAACCGTCCAACCCGACAGAAGGGTCTGTCTGCACGAAGGCCTGAGAGCTGCCTGCCTCCCCAGGGTGGTCACTGCTGGGTGGCTTCGGGTGAGCTCTTTGACCTCGCTGTGCTGGTCATGTCGCAAACCCCAGAAAACGGAGCGCAGGAAGACCAGGGGTGCAGGGAGGCGCAAGGTCACGACTGGGCCACGCGCCCCCGATCCTGGGGGTGGGGAGACGGAAAGTCCGTCCTATCCGGTTCGTCGCGGCCAGCAGGCTTGGCGCGGGGAGACAGGGGCTGCAGATGGTCCACGCTCATCCGGCCCAGGCGGCCCGGCGCGCTCCCGCTCCGCGCGCTCCCCCCGCCCCCGCCCCACCGCCCGCACCGTCCCGGGGTCGCTTTGAGAGCAGATTGGCAGGCCGGGCGGCGAGCTAGAGCCCGCCGCGCCCCGCCCCGCCTCGGGCTCGCCCCACCGCGCCGGGACCTCGCCCGGACCTCGCCCGCCCGGGACTCGCCTCCTGGCGTCCAGCTCCCCCGAGCGCTCGCGGCTGCTGGGCACGCGGAGGAGGGGGCGGCGGACGCGGGCGCCGCTGATTGGCCAGACCCGCTGATTGGCAGGTGGGGGAGCCACTCGCAGCCGCAGCCTCTGCAGCGGACTCCGCTCGTTAGGGCTCGGCTCCGCTCGGGTCTGCTCGGCTCGGCTCGTCTGCTCGGCCGCGGACCGACTGCCGGGCGTGCGCTGGAGGCGCGGGGCGCGGGGCGCGGGGCGCAGGGCGCGGGGCGCGGGCCTCGGCGGCGGCGGCGGCGGCGGCGGCGGCGGCGGAAGCCTAGTGCCCCCGCCCGCCCGGTCCTCTCGCAGAGGCGGAGGCGGTGCCGCGGGCCGCTGCGGAGCGGGGCGCGGGGTCGGCGGCGCGGGGAAGAGCGGGGGCGCGGAGCGAGCGCGGCCCACCGGGCACCGCCAACCCGGCTCGGCAGACGGACGGACAGACGCGGACCGACGCGGCCCCTCCCTGCCGCCGCCGCCGCCCGCCCGCCCGGGGCGCCCACTCGCCGGCGCCAGGCCCGGGAGCGATGACATCGACGGGGAAGGACGGCGGCGGGGCGCAGCACGCGCAGTATGTGGGGCCCTACCGGCTGGAGAAGACGCTGGGCAAGGGGCAGACAGGTGCGTGCGGGCAGGGCCGGGCCCGGGGCTGGAGAACCGGGCGATGCGGGGGGCCGGGGGCCGGGGTCAGAAGGACCTGGGGCACCGAAGGGGACCGGCAGCGCCGCGGGGCTGGGGAGGACCTGGACCGGGGAGGAGCGGGTCACCGGGGCATCCGGGAGGACCGGGGGCGCCGGGAAGGACCGGGGCTCGGGGGCGCACAGGCCCGCCACAGCCGGGGAGGCCGTGCTGACGGCGCCCGCGGGGCCGGGGAGGAGGCCGCCGGGTGCGGTGCCGCAGGCCTGGCCCGGCTCCTGCGGGCGGGCGGCCGCGAACAATGGGCGGCCGGACGCCGGTCCCGCCGCGGAGTCCCGCAGGCCGCGTGGCTGCGGGCGGCCGGGCGCGGCCCAAGGACACGCAGCTCGGAAGGGGACGCGCCCGGCCAGCGCCCCTCGGCCCGGGCTGCAGGTGCGCGGCCCCGGCGGCCCCATTGTGCGCCCAGCGCCCGGGCCCATTGTGCGGCGGGAGGAGGGGGCCGGCGGGCGCCCATCTGCCGTCTGCCGCGGCCGCTAATAGGCGTGCCGCCCGAGCAGCTGCGCCCCGGCCGCGCGCCCCCGGCCGCGACCCCCGACTCCGAGGGGCGGGCAGGTGGGGAGGCCGCCCGGTGGGTCTGCGGGCGACGGAGCCACCCCGGCCCGGCCGGGCCAGACCGCCCTCCGCGGCGGGGATGGAGGAGCGCTCGGCCCTGAAAGGGCTGGACAGCGCCTTTCTCCCTCCCCGCTTCCGCTCGGATCGCCTGCGCCACTGCGCTCCCCAGAGGAGGGAAAAGGCTGGTCCTGGGCCTCACCGAGGAGGATCAGGCCGCGGGTCCTCCCAGGCCGCTGCGGGGCTGGCCCCGGCCGGGCCTGTAGGAGGGAGAAGGGGCTTCCTGGCTGGTCCTGGCTTTCAGGGATCAGCGTGGGTCCCAGCCAGGCGGCCGGTCCCCGCATCTGGCGGATGTTCAGAGTCGCTTTGTGGGAAGCTGGGCTCAGCCATTTTCTTTCTTCTCCCAGGATGGGCCTCTCCTGGTGCACAGAGGTCCGGTTGGCAGTGATCTCCCTGCCGCCCTGGGACGGCCCTTAGACCTGGGGGAGGCAGGGCTGGTGCAGGTGCAGGTGCAGGATGGGGGCCAGGCGGCGGGGGGGGGGGGGGGGGGGGGCATCTGCTCTAGCCAGGTGCTGCAGGCCCTCCCAGAGCCCCCGGGGCGGCACGGAGGTGGATGGAGCTGGAAGGTGCTGTGGGGGAGGAAAGTGAGCCAGGTCCGGCCCTCCCTCCGGAGGGCAGTGGCTCTGATGCAAGCAGAGAGCGCGAGGCATCTGGGCTGGGGCGGGGGCTGCCCCCTGTCCAAACCCGGGATAGACAGCCCCCTGTGCCAACTGCTGAAGCACCAAGGGGTCCCTGGCAGCTAGGGCAGTGACACTGGGAGTAGGGATGGCATGGCCCGGGTTCGAGGAGGAAGAGGAGGAGGTGGCAGACAACCTGGGCTCCACGGAGCTCACACTACGCATGTGTCCCGGGAGGACAGAACAGCTGTAGTTGGTGAAATCCGTGCCAGGGGAGGGGCCTGGGCAGCCCCCGGTGGGAGGCAGCGGGATAACCTTATTATTGTACCGATAAAACGCTCTAAGGAGACATCAGCGCGTGAGCGATGACAGGGATGAATTACACCCGGGGGCGCGGGCCGGCTCTGTGGGTAGGCCTGGTCCCCGCGCTCTCCATTGAGTCCTCCTGTCACACAGTTAATTATAGGAGGTCTCCCCTGTAATTAACAATAACGAACACAAAGGGTGTGTGTGTGTGTGTGTGTCAACAACACCCCACCATGTGCTGTTTGGAAAGGGGCCCCGGGCCCACAAAGCCAGCCGCCGCTCCCCTGGAGGAAGACCTTGCGGGTCTCGTTGAGTGGCCACCCCCAGGGGCTCCGCAGGCCCCATGTCCCCTCGGGCCTCGATGGCGGGAGGGCCGGGTTCCCGGGAGGACCATCGGTGCCTGTCTCCCCAAACCTTCCGTGGAAGGGTCCTCGAGGTCGGTGGACGGGGGGGCCTCCTCGTGTGCGAGGGCCCGGCCTGGCCACGAGGCTTCCCGAACGCCCAGCGTGATGTCCCAGGCCCCGCCGTCCACTCGGAGGTAGACATCTGGCCGGGAGCCCGTGGTGGGGACGGAGCGTGGGCGCCTTCTGCCCAGGCTGGCGGCTCTCCTGCCTCACGGCCAGAGTCACCTCAGTCCTCTTGTCTTTGCCCCAGTCCCGCAAAGTGGGCACCGTGGCCTGAGGGAGCTGTCGGGCGGTGCGAGGGGCCTTCCGTTCCGAGCCTCAGACGAGGGCGGGGGTGCTGCCTGGTGTGGAGTGCGGGCGAGGGCAGAGCTGCAGCCCTGTGCCCTCCGGACGCTCCTCCTGCGGCCGGCGGGGTCCAGGCCGCCCTGTGGTGTGTTGGCGGTGGTGGGCAATACTGTCTGGCGAAGGCGGTGTGGGCTCAGCCAGCGGTTCTCTCACTCAAGTTGGGGTTGGGCTGTGGTCGTGGGATCACCTCCCTCTGCCCCATCTCCTTGCACGGTGTCCTCGATGGCCTGGCGTGGCCTCTGCAGGCGGCCCATGGAGGCCCCGCTGGCCATTGTGGTTTCTGGTGGCGAGATGGGCTGCAGGGCCTGATGGGGCAGGCATCGCTGTGCTGGGCGGAGTCCACTGCCAGGGCTCTGCCCGGCCCCTCCCACATCCGGAAAGGGCTTCTTCAGCCTGGGCGGGAGATGGGAGGCACCCCAGGCACCACCAGACCCAGGAGGGCACCTCACTTAGGCTGCGAGGCCGCCATCCCTCCAGTCCCAGGAGGTGGAGGAGGGCGTGGTCCTGCTCAAACCAGAGTGTAGCAAGCCTGGTGGGCTCAGCTTCCGGAGGGTGGGTGTCAGCCAGGAGGACTCCTGGGAGGAGGTGGAAGACCCCTGAGAGGAGGGAGGAGCTGGGGTCCACGATAAGTGGTGCAGCCTGCCCGGGGAAACCCTGCTAGTGGGCGAGAGGTGAGAGGTGGCTGCGCGGGGCTCAGGTCAGTGGCGCTAAAGAGAGAAGACGGGAGTGAGGGGGCCGCCCTGCCGCTCGCCTGGCTGGGCTCTCAGGGGCGGGCGGGCCCGGGGAAGGGCCTGGGCTGCCAGGTCCAGGGTTCTCAGGAGACCTTTGGAGAACCAGTGTGGGGTGCTGGTGGCGGCAGGCTGGAGGGGAGTCCTGGGGTTGGGGGAGCCGGTGTAGATGGAACAGGTGACTTTGGGAGAGACAGGTGAGAGAGTGAGAGCCTGGCCAACCCTGGAGTGACCACAGCCAGGAGCTGGAGGGCACTCAGCTCGGAGCAGGGCGGGAAGGCAGAGGCAGCAGAGGACGGGGAGGTACCGGGTGGGGTGGAGGCAGGGTCTGGCTGGGCTCTTGCTGGAGCCATGGGGGTGCTGAGGCCAAGAGAAGGAGCTGCCTTCCTGCGTGGGCTGGACTTGGGTTCGGGGCGAGTGTGGACAGAGCAGGATGCGTGGGTCCATGAACGCTGACCGAGGGGGACCGCCTGTGGTGTCTGACGGCCACTGCCGCGGGCGGGTCACCGTGGTCAGTGCCGTGTGAGCCGGAGCCTGCTCCTCTGTGCACCAGGCCGGGCCTCAGTCTGTCCAGCTGCTTTATAAGCCAGGAAGCCAGCGCAGGCGCGGTGCTGTGGTCAAGGACAGCAGCTCCTTGGGGCCGGGAGGAGAGCACAGTCTGCTCACTGCACGGGCTGGGTTTGAAAGTCCAAGGAAGCAGGACCCTATTCCCAAACCGTGCCGACCCTGCTCCCGGGGAGAGGGCGGAGGTGGGCAAGGCCGTGCGCTGCCTCTCAGCACCCCATCGGGGACTCGGAGCGGACGGCACCGCTCCGGCCCTCCCCCCACGGCGCAGGCTCTCTGCCAGGAACCCTCTGCTGGGGGCAGGGGGCAGCTCTGGGTGGGCTGTCCCTGGCAGTCTCGGGGTGATGGGGTTCATGCCTGGAAGGATGGGCAGCTTCCTGCAGGCAGGGTCTGGTGCAGGCAGAGCCCTCGGACCCGGTTCCCTGCCCGCCCTGGCCTGCGGTGGCTCTGAGCATCTGTGAGTCGTCACAGGTCCCCCCCCCCCCCTCCCCGGCTCGCCACTGGCTGTAGGGACAGGCTCTGCAGGGGCCTGTGTACCAGGAAGGGCCTGCCAGGCAGAGGGCACAGCCCGGGCACTGGAGTCCCCCCACCCCGCCCCGCCCCCAGGGCTCCCGGCACGACTCAGGCAGAACCCAGAAGCCTTCCGAGGTCGCCGATGCCCAGCCTCTGCCCTGCCGGGTGCCCTGGGCGCAGAGTTGTCTATGGCTCGGTCCAGAGCGGCTGCCTCTGACGGCGCACGCACAGGCACCGCCAGGCCGGGCCCTCGCTCTCACATGAAGCCTGCGGACGCCGGCCAGGGCCCCAGGTTCTGACCAAGGGCCATCTGTTCCCAGCAGCCCCCGGGGTTCCCGGTGCGAATGCTGCTGGGCAGGTAGCCACCTGGACGGTGCTGGTGCAGAGGCACAGGGGCCTGGGCCCCTGGAGGACCCGGGTCCCGCCGTCCTTGCTGGCAGCTGATGGCTTGTGGCCCAGCGTGAGTGGCGTGTGTGGACCGGGGCCTCCAGGGCTGGCTCCCGGGGCGTGTGAGGGCCGTGCCTGCCCTGTGAGGGCGTGTGAGGGCTCTCCTGCCGCCCACCCGGCGCCTCCCCTGCCCTGCCCTGGGCCCGAGCGCAGGCACCCTCCCTGCCGGGCGCACCTCTCTCTGGCTGTTTCTCCTGTTTGCCGCCCTCGGTGTTTGTCTGTGGGGTGACCTCTGTGCCTGACAGTGTAAGAGGAGGGGGAGGACAGGGAGAGGAGGAGAGAGAGGAGGAGGAGGAGGCAGGTGTGGGCCAGGCCGCAGCACCATCGGCATCCTCGCTGCCTGTGTGGCAGTCCCACTCAGCAATGTGCTTGGAGCGGACCAACGGGCCCTC